TTCTATAAATATTTTTTACATTGACTTTCATGAAGTTAAGAAGGCGTTACAATGATAAAAAGTGCATGCTAATTTTTTTTAGGTTTAGATGATAAAGAAATAATGTAAACCATAAAATATTCATCACTAAAATATGAAATAATTCTTTAAGTTTTTTGGGATGCTTGAGAAAAAGGACAACGGAAATATTTGAAATATTCAAGACAAAAAGGACCAATATGACACAAAATGTATGGACCTCCGTTGTCTTCTTGAAAAATAGAGGGACCTGAGAGTTATTTCGACAAAACTCGCACCCTGTCACCCATGAGTTATTTCGATAAAACTCGCGTCACCCATGAGTAATTTTCTGTAGCCTTAATGCTTAGTTTGAATTGGCATATAATTAGAGAGGGACATACCTCGGTTCTATAACATATACGGAGGTGGATATGCATTTTATAGAGTAAATAAAATTTTGATTTAACTTTTGTAGGGACAATTTGACACTCGACGAAGTACACACTCACTACAGTTCTAAAGGTCTCGGCTCTCTCTTTATTATTTCTCTGTTGTTACAGAATTCACCACGGTGTCTTTTGTTAACAGTGGAGTTGTTCAAGGATTTTAAAAGTAATAGGGAAGAAAATGATTCCCACAAAAATTAAAGGAGTTTGATTTTCCCTTCTTTTAATATATTTTGTCTTCTGTATTTCTTTCCCTTCTACTTTTTTTTATCTTTTTCTCTTTAAGCGAATAAGAAAATAAGATTTCCATTTCATTTTCTTTTTTCTCTTTCAAATTCTTTGAACCAAATATAAAGTTACTAGGTTAGTAGTTGTTGTTATTTGGTCTTCTTTAGCATTTAGGGGATTTTCTTCTATAGCAAGAAGACGAGGTTTTAAAAATATCATCATCTAGCAAAGAGATTATGATTTATTAGTTTTGAAATAGTGCACATTGGGATGAGACAGAATGATTTTACATGTTGCTTTTATAATTCACTTTTGTTTTTACATTAAAAATTTGATTTTCCCTTTTATTTTATGTTTTAAATATTTTAGAGCAAAAATCTTATCATGCAATACATGCTAAATCTATTTTACTTTTATTAAATATTTACTAGGCCAAGTACTATATAGGCAAATTTTTTAAATTATTTTATTCAATGTTCCATATGTCCCAAAAAAGATCTCATTTCCCTTCTCAAGACATTCTAAGAAACTCTTTTTCTAGATTTGGCAAATCTTTTGTGGCTTAGTATTTTTTGTATCACTCTCAACTATATAATTTTACTTTTCTTAAACTTTATACCAAATTCAATTGAAGAGTTTTTTGGACAGAGAAAGTATAATCTCTTTACTATAATGTCCATACATATTGCACCAATGTTCTCCAATTAAGAAAAATATATATAAATTAAAAAAATTGGGATGTAATTACTGATTTTCTGTAATATTCATAATTAAAATTTATAGAAAAAATCTACCCATCTATTGTGCATCAGGATAAAGTAGTTATTTTTAAATTTCTTCATTTTTCTAATATGTGATTATATTAAATTATGATAAATTTTTCAGCCCGTGCAACGCGCAGGTACGAATCTAATATTATATTAAATAGGAAAGGGGGGTTAGGAGACGGAGCATCCCTCTTTCCCGTATGTTCTCTGTCCCTTCCCTGCTGTCGATTCTTCCAAGGCCGGCTCAAGCCAAGGGAGCCAAGGGCAAGATGGCCTCTTGGACATGGCCTAATAGTAGATGGGCCCCCACTTTTTGCAAATGTGTTACATATATTTATTTATTATTTAATTATTTATACACTTTTCGTCTCAATTTAAATCACCTATTATTGTTTATAATGTTTGATTGTAATTATTTTTAAATCATTTTATTTAAAAATTAGTGTAGAATTAAAAATAATATTTACATATTTAAAAAGTAGATCAAAAGTCCTATATCAACCAATTGGATCTCAAAAATGCTAGAAAAACTTTAGGAATCTTTGGCTAGTTATTAACGTATGTAATTAAACATTTATAAGACTACACACTTGACTTTTTATTATTCTTATTACTATTGTACAGAGTAATTTTTTTATTATTAAAAATATAATTTATAGATTTTGCTTCATTATGAAACGATGACCAATTTTTTCGGTGTTATCCAAGGCCCATAATTTCTCGGAGACGGCCCTGGATTCTTCTTCGCGTCCGGTCAATCAGCAATTGCGGCCTCCACCGAGAGGCTCACCGGGAAGTCGCCGTCGGCCCCCATTCCCCTCTCGCAGCCTCTCTCTCTCTCTCTCTCTCCCGTTGGTGTTCCATCCGCCGCTGCACATCGACCAGAGACGCCGACTTGGGAGCTGAGGGCGTCAACCACTGTGGCCTGGGGAACCACCGTCGTCGCCCCTCTCTTCCCCTCCAATTTCTGAATCGCACGCATCATTTCCGGCAAAGAGCAGCGGTGATTTGTGGTTTCAATCCAAGGTTTCGATTTCTTCAATTTTCGAGGTGATTTGTGGTTTCTGTACCTTCCGTTAGCATTAATTCGTAGATTAGAACTTCCTTGGCATATAATCTTGCGATTTGATTGGGAATTTGTGATTGTTGTGTTGAAATTATGGAATTGGTGTTTGGGGGGGGTGTTTTCCGTCATCGCCTCCGGCGACCGCCGGCAACGGCGGCGGCGAGGTGGCCAGAACTGTGCAGCCTCTTGATTTGGACCAATTAGATCCAATTGGCACCAATTGGGTCCAATTGGGTGCAATTGGGTTCAATTGGGTCCTAACGGGTTCAATTGGGTTATTTGGATTTTATTGGATACAATTTCATTGGATTGGACCGTTTGGGGCTAATTGATGGCTTTTCGGCTGGCTGCGAATCACCCAATAGGGCAGTTTGGTCGGGCTTTGGGTTTGGGTAGCCGAGCGGGTACGCGCAGGGTGCTGGGGTTGTTCCGGCGATGATGGGGAGTGCTCCGTTAGGGGCAGCGGGCTTGAGGATCGATTCCTTGGGCTCGATTTCGCGCAGGTAAGTTGGATTAATTCTAATTTGGGTTTGTTGATTATGCATGACGGTAATCGTGGGTCTTCGGACCAGATAGGTCACTACGTGATTTGTTGTGAATTTGTGAACCAATGTTAAATTAAATTAATTTTATTGGTGAATATTGTGGATTATGAATAATGTATGATAAATAGGCCACCTAGTATAATTATGCGGACCTGAATTGGATTGACTGATTGAATCACCAATTGGATATGGTTAGGAAATTGGCCATTGCGGGCGTCGTCGCACTCCCGGTGGGCTTGGGTTAAAAACGTACGTACGGAAGTCCGCGACCTGTCCTAGCATCGTAGGGACAGGGGCTTCAACCCGCCCAAAGTGAATCTCCTCCTGGTTTCTTAGCTGGCCTTTTTATAGCAATGCATGGGGTGCCATGACTCAAAGTAGTTGATGTGGAATAAAATAAGGACATGATGTTCAAATGGAAGGTGTTAATATAAATATGTTTTTTAAGGTATTTTTCTCCGTGATCACATGTTGTGGTTGATTGTATGTTAATGTGGTGCTATTCTGTGAGTTAATGTTGGCTTAAATATATTTTCACTCAGCGTTTCGTTGAGCATGTAGTCGTTGTTGTTTGACTGCACGTAGGTAGGAACACAAATTTGGATGGGCAACCCAGAGGGCAGTGAAGTGGTGGTGGGGCGTGGATGGCTCTTGTTTACTTTAACAATTAAATTACATTATTTTATTTGATTATATGGACTGTTGGACATTACTTTGGTTTTCTTATGCTTTTGCGACGTTTGGATTTATTTAATTATTTTGATGAATTTGGGTTTAGTTAAAACTCTACGGCAAATTTTATAACTGATTTAATTGTTAATTTAGAAAAAAAATTTATGCATGCAGATATCAACTTAGTGACAACCCGGTTCGCAAACCCGTTGGTTCGGGTTACGCGGGTTGGGGTGTTACTCTTTGGTATCAGAGAATGTGGTTTAAAAAACGATTCTTTGCCAAAATAATTAAACTTTTAAAAACTCTTTTTTATAAAAAGTTATCAATTTAAAAAAAAAACTATTTTGTTTAAAAACAAAAAAAAACTATTATTGTATATACATTTTTTGACCCTTTTGTCGATTTCAATTTTTTTCAAAATAATATATTTTTTCGAAATCAAGTAAATATATTTATTGCATGATTTTTAATCAATGGACAACAACGAAAAAGTAGAATATGTAATATTTGAGGAATTGAAAGTGTACTCAAAATTTTTTTTTTAATTCCATTTTTTTTGAAACACTTTAGGGTACACAACATTTTTGGTATGGTTGTAAGGGTTTCCATTGTCATCTAGAACCAATATTTTTAATCATGTTTTTACCTTCACTCATAAAAAAGTAACATAAAGTTAACCATGTGATCACAGAAAAAAACTATTATTGTATATACATTTTGGTAACTCTGAATCTTTATTGTTGCTTATGTGATAATTAATTGTTGTCTTTAATATTTAGTTATTGGTTGGTTTATTAAGTATATAAAGAGATACTTATGTGTAGTGAATTTGGAGGGTGAATCTTAAATTAGGGTTGTATTTGGTGAGAAGAAAAAAATGTGGATTTTGATATCTCGAATATCAAAGTCCTAATTTTGGTGTTGGTGAACTTAAAAGGAATTTAATTTTAATTTGAAAGCAAGAGATATGGGAAATTTTCAATCTTAATTCACCACTTTCAAAAATGAGAAAAACGTTGGTGTCAAAATCGAAGGAGGTGAAGATGGGAAAACTCTGTCTCAACACATCAAAATCCTCTTATCTTTGCACCCAACTCTATGTCTCCTTCCAATGGGGCAACGGGAAAGTCGTGTCTCTAGCAGCGGATCTGGATCATCGACAATGACGGCCGAGGAATATGTTTCCTATTTATAACCCATGCTCACCGTTTAGTTTTCTATATGTTCCTCTGCAATAAAATTTGGCGAAGTCCTCAGCGGTGGATTGGCCACTGTTTTGCTACTATTCATAATCACTACATATATACATGGTATATGTCTCTCTCACCAAACACCTTCTAATCAGATTTCGGAACTCATATCATCTCCTCTCAAATTTAAAAAAACTCATGTCTTATCGCATCTCCAAAACTCACCAAACGAGCCTAAGTCATTATCCACAACTATCCATGACGACTAGTGCGATCATGTTATATTAATAATTGTGAGAAAGAATATATTATATTACATGTTGATAACATGTGTAAGAGTTAAAAAACATAGTCACAGTTGAAAATTTCAACCACCGGAGTCGGATTTAACACGCTGGTAGTTGGTTCGTATAAAGAATGTAAATATGAGAGGAAAACAAAAGGTGTTATAAAAGAATGTAGATATGAACTTAGCTGCCTGGTGCCAACTTGAGGGAAATGGATAACTCGCAAATTATCCTCGAAGTTGATTTTGATTAATTTCGGAATAAACTTGTTGTGCTGAGACTCTCAAAAGATAATTAGTTTCCTCAAAATTGTAGCATCACACCACCAAAGACTTATTAATGCTTAATATTGAAATACAAGGTGGCTCAATAGTATGGGATGAATCTGAAAGAATTTAGGATGGGGTATGGATAACTGGACTGAGCAATAAGACACTTGGGTTGAACCACATTAAAAGATTGAATCCAATCGATTAGTTAGTTCAACTCAACAGCTTATATATATACCGATTATTTTCTTCTTTAATTTCTGATGTGGGATGCACTCTAACAGAATCACACAACGTAAATATTCTAGAAGAGAATAACAAGATATGTACTAATTCCTTAAATTTTATATATCGAAAAAAAATATCTCAAAGTTGAAGATTTATAACTACCACCATGTTGTAAAGTATATGTAAAACTTGATGTCTAGAATGAAATGTTCCCAACAAATAATTGTTGAACGAAGAAAATGAAAACAAATATTATGGGTTGAACCATTAGGATTAACTCTAAACCAAAGTATTTTGGTGAATACACATAATTTGAAGAAAATGAAAAAAACTAATAAATTATAAGCTACTTAATGAACTTACGCAGCTAATAATAAATATCATATTGAGCAGTGGTTTACAAGAAAGAATTTTTGAATTAGACAGTTTTGCGGGTAGTTACCATATATTTAGACTATGTGAGGGATTACTATCTAATAAGTTATCTTTTGAAAAATATATATAATATATAAGTGAAGTGGACCGTCGTTAGATTACATTTGAAGAAAGTAGCTAAGGTTACTTTTAAGAAATTAAAAGTTTTGACCATTATGATACTTTTAATGAGATTAATTTTCTAACAACTTATTAATTGATACAAAAAAAATTATGTATATGAATCAACTAAATGAGGGTTGCTCGAGAAAAAAATATTGCAAAGGGGTTTAAACTATGCTCTTTTAAATTGGTGATGATAATATTTTAAGTGGTAAGTGACTTTGCAAAAAAAATTATATAACGAAACTTCAAGAATAGTTTTAGGTAAGCTTGAAATTAAATTTGTTCAATCCATGCGAGAAAAGGGTATATTGTAGCACTAAGGTAAGACGTGAAATTGGTGGCCCAGTGGCATCATTAATAAATAACTTTATCTAGCATTCAATTCAATCGCTGAATAATGAAATGACAACCAAATACAGAAGGGGCTCCAGACTCGGACGAATGAGGGTGTTTTATTTCGGTGTCAGACGAGGATGACAATATGATGTAATGTGTAACGAAAGAAAAAAAACAATACATTTCCTCTTTATAAAAAGGGGGTAAGAAATAAAGTTTGTAAAAGGTTATCTTATTAAAGGTAAATTGTTACTTTCATAAGAAAATAATTATTTTAAGATTGGGTGTTAATCTTTTAGAAAAGAGGCATAGTGATTAAGTCACTTAAACATTTTCACTAGAGGACTTTTGATAAATGATTAAAACGAACATTTTGCACACACAAAAAAAAGAAGAAGAAAATACGTGTTGTATCCAAAAAAAAAAGTGAAACGTAATGCCGTGAAGTATACCCTAGGATTTAGTTTTAATTATGTAACAAATCCTAATTTTAATTTTTATTTAAATTAAATATTAAAAAACAACAAAAATGTGAGTGCTAAAATTAATTGATTTTCAAAGTTAAATTTGGTGGGAAAAATTCATATTCAAATTGAAAGTCCTAACAAGACATGTTCAATGGCGTATTCCGCGTGCGAATCTGAGTTATGGAAGTTAGGGAATTACCCGTCCCAAGACCGAGAAGATTTTAAAGTGAACGAGTAAAATACGAGGGGACGTGGAAATATTGTTAACTCACAAATCCTGGATAGTTGGGTAGGTCTCGCAAAAGGGTGACCTGTGACACATCGTTGGTCGAGTTGGGAATTATGTTTTAAAAGTTGTCATCAAAATAAATGTTAGAGTTCAGTAATTTTACAATAGAACTTTTAATAACAAAAATAAGAAATTCCAACCCGTAAATGCAAAACCATCACGGATTG